ATTGTATCTCCGCTACTGATCTAGTTTGTAATTTTAGTACAATATCATCCAATAATAAAATTCAAGCGAAACAATATAGGCAGAATTAACATGTTTTTAGAACGGACATGCTTATTTATTCTGAAAACGGTTGGTTTCTCGAAAAAAGTTGAAGGGCAAAAAAAGCCTCGAAATTGAACGATATATCAAATGTCTGCAAGATGTTAGAGGCGTATTACGAAAAAGTTTGTGGGGCATCAGGAAGCCGCTCTACCCCCAAAAACATATCACCCTTTAGATTTTAGAAATCTATAAGATGCTCAAAATGATGATCTTCTAGAAAGTATCTGAATTTTTATTTGATATTTGGAGATATCAAAAGTGAGCGAGATACATCAACTAATGAAGAAACTTTTAGACCCCCTGTATAGCTCCGCTTCTGATCGAGATCGGACTCATGTTTATATGAACTTTTTCGATAAAAATGATTACAGGTCTATCACCCATTTCAGTTTGTGCATTTAAATCTGAATCACCCTGTATAGCGTATATTACACTAGTAATAGTAGAAATACAATCTTTATTGGGGAATTACCCAAAAGGCTATCGACCAAAGCGTTGATTGATATCAATCAACGACCAAAGTCTTCCATCAGCATGTAGTAAGGTCAGTTGGACCACGAGTACCTGCATTAATCCTTTTTTGAAAATGGTCGAGTTGAGCCCACCCTGAAGTTCGACCAGGTTATTAGAATTCCTCAGTAACGTTCAAAGTTCAAACGTTCTAGCAGAGATCTCTAGTAAGCATCATCATCCTTCATAAGTATCTAGTTGATTTAATTTTTCTACAAAAGGTTCGCGCATTGACAACAAATTTATGTGACACTTTTTTGTACTAAATTTCTTCTACAATTATCCACTGTTCATGCTTTTAAAAATGGCTATTATATACCTGTTTACATTTTGCTTGTTACCAAACAAGAAAGGCTCAAGTAATTTAAAATTATTTCAACTGTTAAATGAAAAATGTAAAACTTTGGATCTGATATTTAAACCTTCAACAGTCATTGTTGATTTTGAACAGGCAATTCATAACGCTAGTTCAATAATGTGGCCGAATATAAAAATTATAGGATGTAGATTCCATTTTGTGCCAATCTTGGTATCGTGAAATTAAAAATTTGGGCTTAGTCACAGAATATCGGAACAAAAACTCAGAAATAGTCAATTTCCTCAAATTATTTTTCAGGCTCCCATTTTTAGACCCTAATGAAGTAGGAAACAAATGCGTGTGAATCATTTCATTCTCATTATAATTTTAATTTTCATAGTTCTCACCCAAGTTTATTCAATTTTGTAAATATCTTAATGAACTTTCAAGCAGAAACATATAAAAATGTTCCACCAAAAAACTAAAAAGTGCAACACAGAAAAAAAAATGATTTCATTAAAGCTAAGATATCAGAATATAGAAATGGCCTTTTATCACAAAAAGATTTTGTAAAAATTATGTCTTATCATAATTCACCTCAGAAGAGCGGTCGAGGTACCAGGCCCGTGGACGAACTGTCCGACTCCCGTAGTAAGTAGTAGAATAATAGTGATTAATGTTGCAAAAAACACTAAAATTTCATGTTATACATATTTAATACAAATAATACATGTATGTATGAATATTATATCTACAGTACATATTTACAAGGAAAAATATACTATGTATCATAATTCTACATATTTTCATTTTGAATTCTGTTTTTTCAGTACATTAACAAAAACGATGGTATTCAATAAATACAAATCTTATAATCATACTATTATCATTATCTACACTTTGAATAGAAAAAAATATCAGAAATAAATAGGTATACAAGAATGATTTCTTGAATGGTTTTTCCAGGTATAATTAAGCTACCTTCACAGTGATCGAGATACCTGCAAAATTCATCACAAGACTCAATGGTTTCCATGTTATTGGATTTATTTTGCAAATAACATAAATATGTTAAGAAACCTATAATCTCTCGATAAGAAAATCATCAGCCGATCTGAACCTTTACACCTACCTATACATCATTGCAAACCCATACAATTATTGGTTTTTGATTGGCTTAATAGTGGCAAGTGAAAACAGAAATCACTGGTAGCTAATGAGAATCAAATTAATACAATTTGTACAGGGTGATTCACCATAAATGTCCCCTCCCTCTAGCTCAGTTATTTTTTAACCGATTTCGAAATTTGGAATATCATCTTGAATGATTTTCGATAAAGTTTTTTTCCGCTACATCAGAAAATACAGGGTGCTCGGAACAAACGATCTACAGGGTACTATTTGATTTTCTATATGGAATACCCTATTTTCCATTGTATTTTTAGATTCTCCCTGAAGAACTGATTTGATCAATGTATCACACTTGGGGTCTAGCGGGAATGATTACAGATATATAGGGTGTTCAAAATCGAGATTTTTCAACTTTAGGATTTTTTTGGGACGAAACTATTCATTATCAGTCGAAACGGCTTACATGTCTCTATCTTAACTTTTGATTTACTTTCTACTGACATTTAATAATTGGAACAGATACAGGGTAATCAGAATTCTGAATCTTGAACCACCCTGTAAATGTTCCAATTAAATGTCAGTAGATAGTAAATCAAAAGTTGAGATGGGGACATAGAAGCCGTTTTGACCATTAATGAATAGTTTCGACACAAAAAAATCTTAAAGTTGGAAAATCTCGATTTTGAACACCCTATATTTCTGTAATCATTCCCGCTAGACCCCAAGTGTGATACATCGATGAAATCAGCACTTCAGGAAGCATCTAGACTCACAATGAAATACAGGGTGTTCCATTTGAAAAAATCAAGTAGTACTCTGTAGATTGTTTGTTTAGAGCACCCTGTATTTTCTGATGCAACAGGAAAAAAATTCTGAAAAATCATTTCAGATTATTGTTCAAATTTTCAAATCGGTTCCAGAATGAGTGAGCTAGATGGGGGGACATTAATGGTGAATCACCCTGTACGTATAGGTACTGATGGTTATTATATCAAAAATTCCTAAAATATGTTACCTATCTATCTCCGCGGATCATTGAAACTAACCAAAAATAAAAATTGCTCATTTTATTCATCAAAAATACACTTTCTGATGTACATTAGGTATTTCTCTCAAGGTCCTCTATTCGTGGTAGGAGTATGTACACTTCCTCATGACTCACCCTGTATATCATTTCGTTATCAGATAACGGTAGAAATCTGCAGCTGCAGCAGTGGCGCCGTTATGGTTATTGGAATCAGTAAAAATCACTCTTTTAAAATATGCAATAAAATATAGGGTGTTCCATTTAGAAAAGTCAAACATTCTCACATTCCCCGTAATTTCGTTTCGAAGTCTCCAAAATCTCAATTAGCTTTCGAGATATTTAGTGCAGATAGCGTGAAATCCACATAGTCAATCATCGTACATACTTTCATAATAACACACTTATATCCCATGGATATCCTTAGGACGTCTTGACGGGACATTCAGGACGTCCATAGGACGTTTGAATTTGGTACCGTGGACGTCCATTGGACGTCTGTGGGACGCACAAATGTCCCACTTGAGGACCAACTAGGGACATCCTTTAGGGATGTCCCTGGGACAACTATCGAATGCCTAAATCCCACAGTATTCCTCATCAAGCATTACAGAGGACATCCTTAGGACATCCATAGGACAACCTATCAGCGACGCTGAAGGATATCAATTGGATGTCCATAGGATGTCCCAGGGACGTACGAATTATTCTTGAATTTGAATTTTTCTGGGTCCCTCTAGGATCAGATCTTGCATAACTGATTAGGACATCCAGTTGAGTTGGTGGTCCGTAGAAGGGCCCCAAAAAGTTTCCCAAGGATGTCCAATGGACTTACGTGAAAGACATTGACGAGGAGTACTTATAGCCTACGAGCAATCATTCGTCGGCGAGGTGTAAGTTAACGTCCTAGCAGGGACAACAAATTGAAAGTACCGACTGGGACGTCCATAGGACGTCATTTCTAGGACATTGGAAGAGTACAGTTCATGTACCAATTGGGACATCCGACGGATATCCCTAAGGGACATTCGAAGGATTTCCCTAAGGGACATTTCGATTGTTATACGATCCCGGAAATATTAAGGGCGTCTGTGCAGAGATATTTGAAGGAATGTACCATCAGGGGCATTTATAGTTGTCTAGTAGGGACATTATATAAGATCTGAAGTCATGCCAGAATATGTACTATTCGGGACATCCGATGGATGTCCCTAAAGGAACGTTTAAAATCATATCCCATCAGGGACATGCCAAGGACGTCTTTGCATGGACATTCTACAATATGTACCACGTGGGACGTCTAAGGGATGCTATTTCTAGGACATTTGAAATGATGTACCAGCTGGGACAGTCCGTGGACGTCCTTGCTCGGACATTGCATGAGATGTACGGGATGGGACGTCCCAAGGACACTTATTTTTGGTTCGGGACATTCGGACGTGAATTGTGCCAAATAGGGACGTCCCTAGGACGTTGTGTGCTATTAGGATTATTGGTAATGGTGGCCCTAGGAACTTATAATGTTTCATCAAATTATGAATGTAAATAAACATGTTGAAAAGAATAATCAAAATAACGCTTTGATACGTCCCTGAATGAAATTCCAAAATTATTTTCACTTTGTTGTGCTTAGGGCAATTTTTGACTTATTATAAGAAATCTTATCTTTGATCGTCGAAGGCACTGATGGTGAAGAATTGAACACAATCACCCTGTATATTCAAGAATGTTACAACCACAATCTAGTTTTCAGAATTAATTACTATTCTCGAAGTCTCCGCGAGTTTTTGTTTTAAAAACTAAACCACTCTGTATACTATACTATCGAATAATATCCGGTATAACGTATAGTCATCAGTTTCAGCAACATGAAATGCCTTCAGAGCATCCATTCTCAAAAATATCACAAATTAGCATTCTATCTCTATCTTTTGATCAGACAGCGGAGTTTTCGTCTTCTGGTTTCGTTTGAACTCCGTTCGCGACGCTCCCATATTTCGTGTCTTGCAGTTCACCATCATCAGTACTTTTCTGTGGCTGATTCCACGGCTGCTCCTCGCCGCTGCCGAACATGCAGTATATCAAGTTGGTCAGAATGAATAGAGCGAATGTTATCCAAAATACTATCCGCCATTCTTTGAGGGTATGCTGAAAAAAATCGTAACATTTGTGTTCAATACCAATAAAACTGAATACCTATATAAATAAACAAAATATTAGTCTCAATCTCCAAATTAAAAATAAAGTATTGAAAAGAACTACACAAATAAAGTATCTTGGTATGTGGATTGATGAAAAATTGAAATGGGACAAACATATAGAGATTCTGATACAAAAAATATCTCCAATCATTGAAGCTTTGCGAAGATGTCCTAAACTTGATAAAAAAGTCATAAACATAGTACTTCATTCTCATATACTCAGTCGTATTACCTATATGATAAACGTTTGGGATCTTGTTCAAAAAGTTATTTCAGTAAAATATCTGCACTTTATAAGAAATCCATGAAAGTATTGTATCGCCTCTCATTTGATATCCCAACATATGTATGCGATAACAGGAATATTTTCATTGGATGAATGATATGAAATAGATTCTCTTGAAGTTTCATGTAATATCATAAACAATAATCTGAAATCCAATTTTATTTTGATCAGAAACTCAGAAATTCATGGTCATCACACGAGACAATTAAACTTATTTCATCTTGATTCTGCTACTGCTATTATTTGGCAAAAAAAAAATTACTCACGCTGCTCTAGCTGAATTCAATAAATTACCACATACTATAAAAAATTGCAGACATATTCCAAAATTTAAAATTGAATTAAAAAAACATAATTTTATTACAAAATCGATAAAATTGATACTTTGCCATCTACTGATTAGTCCCTGTTGCTATTTTTAAGACTTGATCGATTTAGCATTTTTAGATTTTTTAGTTTTTTTGTTGTTGTCACCTTATGTTATTTTATTATTGTTATTTGTAATTACCTTCCTCATACCAGAATTTCATTTCTGACTGGAAGCTAGTTTCTCAATGAACAATAAGTATCATACTAATTCGTAGTGGTAGGTAATATTTGATATAGTATAGTGTTATACAATTTTGTTGTGGTATTATTTGATGAATGTGGTGACTGGCGCCTATTTAACTGAACGTTTGACATTTACTACCGACTACTTTTTCAGTGTGAATTGGGAGGAAATATTCCTTATTAAAATGAAACATGATGAATTATGATGCAGTCTGAATACAGAGAAAAGTCACTTATACAAATCCTCGAATATAATTTCCAGTCACATAACGCGTCAAAATCCCAGTGACGGCACCGATTCCATCGACTATGGCCATGAGCGTGCCGGCGATGTTCATACCGCAGTAAAAGGTGTCCATGAAGCTTATTAATACAGGAATAGTAGATAGAAATGAAACAGCCAGAATTGAAATAGGCCTGTCTGAATTCGAACAAAATGAATAGTAGGAATGTGAAAATAACAGCCTGAATTTAGAGAAAACATCCATAATTCGAAGAAAACATCCTGAATGAGAGTAGAACTGACCGAATTCATAGAACAGCTTGTATCAAGTCAGTATAGTTTGAATTCGAAGAGAATATCATGAATTTCAAGAAATCGCATAGAGTAAGAGGAAATAGTCTCGTTCTTGATTGAATTGTGAAAGGACAGTCTGAATTCGAAGAAAGTAGTCTGAAATAACCTGAATTGAAATAAGAAAACAGCATGAATTAAGATAAAACAGTCACAATTCGAGGAAAATAGTGAGAATTCTTTTCGATTTCTCAATTCAAATGAAAACTATTGAATTTACAGAAAACTGTCTGATGGATTCAGAGAAAACAGTTAAAACTGACTGAATTCAAAGAGAATAGCTTGATGAATCAGTTTGGATTTCAAGGAAATGTTCTCAATTTGTCTGAATGAAAAAAAAAATCTGAATTCAGAAGTAGCACCATAAATCGAAGGGAATAATAGTTATTTATGTATTAAGGGAATTATGAGGGCCTTAATTACCGATGGCAAAGTTTGCGTCCCGAGGGCCTCTGGCCCGAGGGACAGCAATCGCCAGAGGTTATTGAGGCTCTATAATTCCCGTGATACATAGATAATTTTATTTCTGACTGATTTCATTCATTAGATACCTTCCCGATTGGAAGTTAGACATGTTTTTCCGTATAGTTTCAATGTCATCAGAACGTCAGATGATGATCTTGACTACCGCGAATAGGAGATTCCTTATTGCTACGTTATTGCATGGTTGTTGCTATGCATTTCTTATTTAATTTTAGCTAGAGGGAATTATAGCATCTATAACATCCCAAGGGAGTTATGACCCTCATAATAGATATCGTAACTATGACGATATAAGCTTATAATGTCACTGTCAGAAATAAAAGTCTTTATTAAAAGATAACAGGCTGATGAATTGAGGTAACAATCTGAATTCGAAGAAAAAAGCATTATGGACTCCCTAAATAGGAAGAAAACAGCATTAATTGAGATAGAACACATCTCAATTAGAGAAAACACTTCGAATTCATCTGCATGGAAATATACAGTATGAGTCCAAAGGGAACATCCCGAATTAAAAAGAAATAGTCAGTATTGAAAGAAAACTTGCTGAATTAAGATAAGGCAGTCTGAATACAGAAGAAACATTAACTTATACGAATCCCCAAATATAATTTTGATGATAGAACACAATTTACTCACGTTTTCGGTCAGGGCTGCAGCCACATATAGGGCGTCAGAATGCCTGGGCGTTCACCTTCATGCCGCAGTAGAAGGTACCCATGAAGCCCATTAATGAAGAGGAATAGTAGATGCAAAGACAATAGCCTGAATTGAGATAGGCCAGTCTGAATTCGAAGAAAATAAATAGTAGGAATGTGAAATCCACAGCCGAATTTAGAGAGATTCGAAGAAAACATTCTGAATGAGAGTAGAACTGACTGAATTCAAAGAAAAGCTCGTATCAAGACAATATAGTTTGAATTCAAAGAGAATATCATGAATTCCAAGAAATCGCATAGTCTCGTTCTTGATTGAGAGAAAACAGTCTGAATTGTGAAAGGGCAGCCTGAATTTGAAGTAAACAGTCTAAAATCACCTGTATTGAAAGAAAACAGCATGAATTAAGATAGAACAGTCACAATTCGAGGAAAATTGTGAGAATTCTTTTCGTTTTATCAATTCAAATGAGAGATATTGAATTCACGAAAAACTGCCTGATGGATTCAGATAACGTAGTAAGAACTGACTGAATTCAAAGAGAATAGCTTTATGAATCAGTTTGGATTAGAAAAAACAGTCTTTATTCATCCGAATGGAGAGAAAAAATATTTTATTTCTGACTGGTATATTATAAGCTTATATCATCTTAGTTTCACTATCAATTAGGAGGGTCATAACTCCCTTGGGATGTTATAGATGCTATAATTCCCTCTAGCTAAAATTAAATAAGAAATGCATAGCAACAACCACGCAATAACGTAGCAATAAGGAATCTCCGATTTGCGGTAGTCAAGATCATCATCTGACGTTCTGATGACATTGAAACTATACGGAAAAACATGTCTAACTTCCAATCGGGAAGGTATCTAATGAATTAAATCAGTCAGAAATAAAATTATCTATGTATCACGGGAATTATAGAGCCTTAATAACCTCTGGCAATTGCTGTCCCTCGGGCCAGAGGCCCTCGGGACGCAAACTTTGCCATCGGTAATTAAGGCCCTCATAATTCCCTTAATACATAAATAACTATTAGGCTTCCGGAATGGAAAGAAAACAATCCTTATTCGGAGAAAACACTCTGAATTCACCTGCATGGAGATATACAGTATAAATTCAAAGGAAACATCCCGAATTTAAAAGAAATAGTCTTTATTGAAAGAAAACTTGCTGAATTAAGATAATTCAGTCTGAATCCAGAGAAAACAGTATCTTATACGAATCCCCAAATATAATTTTGATGATAGAACACAATTTACTTACGTTTTCGGTGAGGGCTCCAGCCACATAGGGCGTCAGAATGCCAGTGATGGCACCGATTCCATTGACAATCGCCATGAGCGTGCCAGCGAAATTCGGCGACAGGTCCAGTGCGTTCACCTTCATGCCGCAGTAGAAGGTGCCCATGAAGCCCATCGCGATGGTGAACATGCCGACGGTGAGCACGCGGTCGCAACCCGAATACGAGGCGGCCATGATGAAGATGGCGGGGCCGGTGGCAGCTGGAAAAACACGAAAAATTCGAAAATATGAAAAGGAAGTTAGTTATGGTAGCTAGTTATCGAACGATGCATGTTTTTGATCTTTCCTGGCGAACGTCAGCCTCATATGCAACTCGGCCACCAGCCGATCGCACAGCCAGCTCAAGCCTATCGACATCAGTCACATGGCCAGGTAAGAACGAAGGAACGAAAGGTACGAAAGGAACGAAGGAACGAAGGAACGAAGGAACGAAGGAACGAAGGAACGAAGGAACGAAGGAACGAAGGAACGAAGGAACGAAGGAACGAAGGAACGAAGGAACGAAGGAACGAAGGAACGAAGGAACGAAGGAACGAAGGAACGAAGGAACGAAGGAACGAAGGAACGAAGGAACGAAGGAACGAAGGAACGAAGGAACGAAGGAACGAAGGAACGAAGGAACGAAGGAACGAAGGAACGAAGGAACGAAGGAACGAAGGAACGAAGGAACGAAGGAACGAAGGAACGAAGGAACGAAGGAACGAAGGAACGAAGGAACGAAGGAACGAAGGAACGAAGGAACGAAGGAACGAAGGAACGAAGGAACGAAGGAACGAAGGAACGAAGGAACGAAGGAACGAAGGAACGAAGGAACGAAGGAACGAAGGAACGAAGGAACGAAGGAACGAAGGAACGAAGGAACGAAGGAACGAAGGAACGAAGGAACGAAGGAACGAAGGAACGAAGGAACGAAGGAACGAAGGAACGAAGGAACGAAGGAACGAAGGAACGAAGGAACGAAGGAACGAAGGAACGAAGGAACGAAGGAACGAAGGAACGAAGGAACGAAGGAACGAAGGAACGAAGGAACGAAGGAACGAAGGAACGAAGGAACGAAGGAACGAAGGAACGAAGGAACGAAGGAACGAAGGAACGAAGGAACGAAGGAACGAAGGAACGAAGGAACGAAGGAACGAAGGAACGAAGGAACGAAGGAACGAAGGAACGAAGGAACGAAGGAACGAAGGAACGAAGGAACGAAGGAACGAAGGAACGAAGGAACGAAGGAACGAAGGAACGAAGGAACGAAGGAACGAAAGAACGAAAGAACGAGCGAAACGAAGGAACGGAAGACTGAAATAACCTCTTACTGACCTATCGTGGTGAAAAACTTCCTGGCGAACGTGAGTCGCATATACCCCTCGGCAACGAGCCAGTCGCACAGCCAGCCTGAGCCCATCGACACCAGCCACATGACCAGGTAGGGCAGCGACGACCACAGTCCGTTGGCCTTGACGTCGAACTTGAGCACGTCGGCCATGTACTTGGGCAGGTCGGTCACCATGGTGAAGAAGCCCCAGTCGTGGCCGATCTGGGCGGCCACTAGCGCCCACAAGGGTGGCGAGGAGAGGATAGAGCGCCAGGGGATGGGGATGCTCTCGGTCGATACGTTCTCTGGAAAGAGGTAAGGGTGGAGTAGTATACGTGCATCCCATTTCGGCTGAGACTGCTAGCTTTTTTGGTGGGTATTGAGGATAGAGTCTCGAGCGTTTTCCACGTTCCTGTCCTATAGATTTTGCATAACTGTATCCTACGTAATCGTTGGGTGTGAGGATCCTGAAATTTGCTGGAGCGAAAGATATACCAAAAATGCACTCTATGACCAAGTGGGATCATTTTCAGTGATATACACTGCTCGTCAACAGCCATGGAACTTCCCCAATTCTCGGAAAATGATATTAGGAGTCAAAATAGGACGAAAATCACTCCAGATTCGGAATCAGGACGCCCAATTCTCTAACAATTTATATTTTTCCTGAAAAATTTTCAGTTCTGAAAAATTAAATTTTGTCGCACTTTTTACGGAAGCACCCCCGTATCGTATCTCACGTAATTGACTTTATCTTTGGACTTTCCCTTCTTCCTGCAAATTTCAGAACCCTACCTCCATAATTAAGTGAGATACGGGGGTGCTTCCATGGGAAGTGAGACAAAATTCAATTTTTCTGAACTGAAAATTGTTTAGGAAAACTATAGATAGTTAATGAATTGGGCGTCCTGATTACGAATCCGAAGTGATTTTCAACCTATTTTGACTCCTAATCATTTTTCGGAAATTGGGGTGCAATGTATATCACTGAAGATGACCGCACTTGGTCATTTTTGGTATATCTCTCGCTCCAGCAGATTTCAGGATCCTTACCCAACGATTACGTAAGATACAGAGGTGTTTCCATTAGAAGTGGGTCACACTGTATATCTACGAAGCTATAAGGAATAATTTTGTGCTGAGAACTATGTCTAACTGAGAATTTCTGTATAACTATGTAGATATAAAAGTATGAATTTCCAAAATTGCCCTGGTTTTCATAATCAGAAATAGTGGTCATATTATTTTTACAAAAAAGAAGGACAGGCACGTGAAAACCGCAATGGTCTATCTTCAATATCAACTAAGAAACCCGGCGGTCTCGATCAAAATGGGCTGCACTGTACATACAGTTCCCGTCTAAAATCTGTTCGCCCCCTACTAATATTCATTATGTATAGTTTTCCAATCAATTCCTCTTTCTCCATGATAATTTTTGTTTGCATTTCGTGTAGTGATAATAATGGTATCTGAAACGGATCTCAAAAGCTTATGTTTGAAAATGGACCTAATATATAGTTTCATTATAATCTGCAGTTATAAGAAGTGATTTTTAATGTATGTACCTCACAAAGTTTGCTTGTCTTCAAATTCATTTTCCATTCAGGCCTTTTCATACATTCCGTCCATAACAGAATGGTTAATATTTCCTTTGGAAAATTAAATAAGTGAAATCCGTTCTCTTCAGAATTCCCACTGTTCATTACACAGCAGGACATTTTCATTCAAGCTTTTTTCTCAATAGTTTTTGAAATTATATTTCAATTTTAACATCCATTAAATTTATTTTCAAAATCAAAAAGTCAATGAATCTAAACATTCGAAAACACTAACAGTTGTCATTTCTGTGTCCGACCTCTTATCTAACAATACCATCCAGTGACCCTACCCAGCGAGCACAAACATCCCTGGGATGTTTTGGGATGTTTTGAAAATGTTGGCATGAAGATGTTATTTTGAGACGTAATATGCACTGACCAAAGAGGTCTTTGAAGGATATCGAAGTATTGTTTTTGTTCTTCTGTGGCATTTCTTTGTTTGCCTACTGAGAGGTATCCCTGGGATGTTTTGGGATGTTTTAGAAATGTAGACATGAGGATGTTTTTTTGAGGCGTAATATGCACTTCCCAAAGAGGTCTTAGAAGGATATTGAAAGTATTGTTTTTGTTCTTTTGTGCCCTTTCTTTGTTTGCCCCACCACACCACAACGTCTCATGCTTACGTCACAATTAATACGATGAATTCTGATTTGTTTTCGATTTTGTTCTTCTTGTTCGCAATTGGAATTCGCGTTTGCAGCGTGTCACGCTTACATCACGCTGCTAACGAACAGAAAGGAATTTGGTGAAGTTTATTGTGTTAGAAGACTTATTTAGTTCGTAATAATGACCATCAAATGCAAGATGTGTTGTTCGGTGCCTCAGTGTAATCAATATATAAAAGTACGAATTTATCCATACACAGCTTCTCCGCAGTTGCAAAATTATGCATTGTGGAGAACATTTCGAAAATTGGGAAACCTATTTCCAATTATATGTCTGTGTGTAGTAAGCACTACTCAGAAACCGATTAAGAAGGTGATTTCATATCAAGAAAATATTTTTATGTTCAATCTATTTTTAATGCATTTTTTCATTCAAGGGAAATAGAATCCTAATGCAAAAGTTCATTTTGACAAAAGGCTTCAGAAAAGTACCTCGAAAATGGTTTTTTACAGCGATTTAATGTGCGCAAGACGCGTAGAAAATTTTTTTTGTTGTGTCCATGAAAAGGCTTTAAAAAGAACTAGGGAGAAGGTAGTTTTGTGACATATCAAGGACATCTCGATAATTGCTGCATTGGCTGTTCTATAATAGTTCTATTCATGTGTGAACAGAACATCGCAGTGGAGGTTCAATGTCTCGAAATCTCGTACTTTTAACATCTCCGAGATGTTTTTGTGCTCGCTGGGTAGTCTTTCTTTGGAGTGACATGAACCTTATGAGCAGTTAGTAAAAGTTCCAGTCCATGACACTTTAGCGAATGGACGAATCGTAATTTTTTTTCGGCGAAAACCCCTAAGTAAACATGTTGGTGACTAGTTCAGTGAAAGTGGTCATTATGCCGAAAAACGCTAGTGGAAAGTTGCCGAAAGATGTCATGATGCCGAACCAGCTCTTTGGACATTTTGCTAAAAGAGGTGGAATTGCCGAAAAAACTCTTTGAATCTTTTTCATTCTGGATAAAAAATAGTAGGAAAAGTAACAACGTGTATGAAGTATACTAACCTAGTTCTTTCTTCAGAAAAGTTTTCTCCTTATCACTGATGAACGGGTGATCCTCTGGTTCCGAATAGCATATCAATACCCATATAATGAACCAGAGAAGCCCTAGTCCCCCAAATAAGTAAAACACAGAAGCCCAGTCTTTGGTTGCATTGATGAGGGCGCCACTTATGCTATTGCTGACGATCGTTCCTAGAACACAAGTGATATCGGTAAATGAGAGTTCACATTTCGAATTTCACTGTACAGGGTGGCCAGATAAGAATGCAAAGTGCTGTATTTCGGAAGATATTCGTCTTAGAGACTTGCGGTAAAAATACTATGACTAAAGTGGCAAAAAAAATACTGGTAATTATTTTCACCCCTTGAATTGTTTCGGTGTTATTCAGATACACCCCTGTATATACAGGGTGTTTCAAAAAAACCTAATGCCCTTGCTATGGTAGGTAGAACATTGCAAAATAATTTTTCAACACCTTGTATCATGAAAACGGATGCCGTTACGACATTTTTTCACAGAGCAAACCCTACTCATTTTGCAATGTTCTACCTACCCTAGCAAGGGGATTAGGTTTTTTTGAAACACCCTGTATAGTATAGTATAAAATTCATTAGACTTATATGTATGGGAATTTCAAAATACCTATATATACGCTTATTCTGTTTCATTATCCTGCATTTGAGATTACAATTTAAAAAATCATATAAATACGAGAGGTAGGTAACTACTTTTTTCAAGCAATTATATTATCAGTCAGAATGTTAATTTGTTTTTAAATCAAATATTTAAATTTTATAGGTTGTCGTGGAATGTTAATTCACCATACCCATAATGCCTTTTTCATTCCCCCTAAATTATATTGCCATTGTTTGCAGATCCATTACACACTATCTCTATTGTTTTTAATTATTTGTACAACTAATAGATCATAATAAAAGTATACCCTTCTGCTGTGTTGTTCCAAATAGAATGTTTCGATTATTTTCAACAATAAAATTATTATCACCTACCTACTTGACTTCCAGCATACACTAAAGTTCCAATTTTTGCACGCTCGTTGAGTGGAACCCATTTGGCTAGCAAAACGTTCAAAGCAGGATAAGTGGTTCCCTGAAATCATATAATGATATGAAATTAGATCAGATTAGATTAGAATTTGCCTCCACATCGGGACTTTTTCAGATCTATGTCTCTGTCCTCGAACACTGTGAATATTTTGATCTTGGTTTTTCCTCTCCCATCTTGAGGAACCTCTAGTCTTGACAAGCCCTCACAGTGGCATACAATGTGTAGATATACTGCTGTTTCCTTCTCTTCCTGACAGAACCTGCACAACGGTTTTTCAGTCAGGCCTACTCATGTGTTTTTTGGGCCTACATTACCCTGTGAGAAATCACACTAATATTCTAGTTGAACTCCTATTCTGTCAATATTGGTGATGTTTTTTTCGTGAGATCCTTTGCCTGTCCCATTCCTGGCGAATTGTTACCCCATTCTTGAGATTTGGTTTGCATCCATGATTTCATGCTTGTATATATTGATTATGCAATACCACAAAAGGGTTGTGAGGCATTACTTGCTCCTGCTCGGCCATGAGGCAGACAGAAGAGTTTATAAAAAACTCATCGCCAACATTCACAGAATATCTACTGAGCCAGAAACGAAGTACAACTAGAATACTAGTGAGACTTCTCACAGGGCATTGTAGGCTCAACAGACACATCATGAGTACGATAGGTCTGACTGAAGAACTGCTGTGCAGGTTCTGTAAGGAAGAGGAGAAAACAGCAGTACACATACTTTGCCACTGTGTGGGCTTGTCAAGACTAAGGTTCCTTACGCTGGGTGAGGAAAAACCAAGAGCCAAAGTTACACAGGGGATCAGAAAGGTAGCCTATGGATTCTCATAGAGAAGGCGGTGCTAGCCAAAGAACTCTGAACGATTTTGAGGGCAGACAGAATAGATCTGAATAGGTCGCGGTGTGGAGGCAGGTTTTTCCTCTCCCAGTGTGAGGAACTTTTAGTCTTGACAAGCCCTCACAGTGGTAGACAATGTGTAGATACTGCTGTTTCCTTCTCTTCCTGACAGAACCTGCACAACGGTTTTTCAATCAGGCCTACTCATGTGTTTTTTGGGCCTACATTACTCTGTGAGAAATCAAACTAATATTCTAGTGGAACCCCTTTTCTGACTGGCTAGATATTCTGTGAATATTGGTGATGTTTTTTTCGTGAGATCCTTTGCATGTCCCATTCCTGGCGGATTGTTACCCCATTCTTGAGATTTGGTTTGCATCCATGCTTGCATATTGATTTTGCAATACCACAAAAGGGTTCTGGGCATTCAGAGCTTTACTTGCTCCTGCTCGGTCATGAGACAGACAAGAGAGTTTATTAAAAACTCATCGCCAACATTCACAGAATATTTACTGAGCCAGAAACGAAGTACAGCTAGAATACTAATGGGACTTCTCACAGGGCATTGTAGGCTCAACAAACACATGAGTACGATAGGCCTAACTGAAGAACTGCTGTGTAGGTTCTGTAAGGAAGAGGAGGAGACAGAAGTACACATACTTTGCCACTGTGAGGGCTTATCAAGACCAAGGTTACTAGCTCTGGATGAGGAAAAACCAAGAGCCCAAAGTTACACAGGGGATCTGGAAGCTAGCCTATGAAGTCCCATAGAGAAGGCAGGGCTAGCCCAAGAACTCTAAACGATTTTGAGGGCAGACACAATAGATCTGAGAAGGTCGTGGTGTGGAGGCAGATAGCCCGAAGGCCCCACTCTAAATCTAATCTAATCTACTGCTCGGGCTAGTGGATCTGCCTCTTCATTGCCCTCATACCCAGTATGTGCTGGTATATACACCGTGTCCCAGCTAAAATGTCCCCCCCTGTAAAAAATCAACCACGCGATCGAATGACTTGAAATTTGGTCACCCAGTATATTTGATGATGCTCACTCGAATTATGCTATTGAATGAATCGTAGGTATACAGGGTCACATCGAAGTGCACCTCAACTATCTTATTTGAATAGGGACACCCAGTATATTATTCCATATTCAAGTAGAGTTCTTTATTACAAATTCAACAATGCCGGGTTTGATGGGATTTTTTCAAACGACTACGAAGATATGGCAAAAAATCAAACGATTCAATGAAAAATGTATACAGGGTGGCCCACGGTCGATGGTACTTTAGACGTATACGGAAAACGGTACATTGGATTATCCTGAAAATTTGGTTACTCTAATAAGCGTTTGTGCTCTAACGATTCAAAATATTTTCAGCGAAGCAGCGTTGCCACTTTTACCAAAAAGTAGCATCATCTTTGTTATTTCAAATGGAACACCCTGTATTTTATTGCGTTTTTTGATTCTTCTCGAAGAGCTGATTTCATCAATGTATCACACTTGGGGTCTAGCAGGAATTATTACAGAGATATAGGGTGTTCAAAATCGAGATTTTTCAACTTTAGGATTGTTTTGTGTCGAAACTATTCATCATTGGTCAAAACAGCTTACATGTCCCTATATTAACTTTTGATTAACTATCTACCGACATTTTCAGTAGATCTCCTGATTTGCATATTGATCTACTGATCTACTGAAACATTTCATAGCCTACTGAAAAATATTTGGACACTTATTTATCATTATATTTACCTATATTATTATTATACTTCAGTAAATCACATATACGCTCTGTTTAAATTAATTTTACAAAATAAGTATAATAAATTTACACATAGGTACTAATTATATGTATAAACCAAAAAGGACAATACTTTATAATATGATCCAGATCAAATTCAATTTTTCAAATACCTCTGTCATAACAGTTTGTTTCATACGTTCAATTTATTATTTGTTTTGAATTTTTGTTGTTCCTTTTTACTATTCGTTACTGTTTTCTATATACTCAAATCTTATACGTACCATAGATCTAATTACACACGTACCTACCTATATAACTGTATTTTGTGATATATATATGTGAGTATTCTTAAATTGAGAATTAGAAATATGATTATTTTTGATTGTTGATTATTCACGAAATCCGATAGATTTCACATTTCACGTGTGAATAGGACCGTGATATGGATATAAGATTGCATACTCGACTATAATAGACAGTTTTTCGTCCTTGGTACATAAATAACAATTTCGATTTCTTCGTCATACGTATGGTTTGGTTTCTTAGGCTCCATAGTTTCTTAACTAGTGTAGATCGCTTTTCGAAAACTAAGCAGCTATGTATACAGGTTGTATCTAAATGAAATGTTCCCATTGTTTCAAAATTTATTTGGTTTGTCAATGTTGATTAGTTTTGTCATATTTGACTTTTGACTGGTGTCACTTGTTATTGTCATGATTCTGGTCATCATTTATATCAATTTATTTATCTGTATGTCATGAGTTATTGACATTGACTTGTGTCACTTGTTCTTTGTTATGTTTCACGTTTTATGTGATTTTGATGTTTCTGATTCTTAGAATACTGTCTTAGCTTCCATTTGTATTTGGATAATCTGATGAATCTCACGTGAGAGAATTTTTTGAAACTTTTGATTCCCGATGTACCTCTTCATTAATATTATGTTGATCTGGTTCTACTGGACTTTTTCCAGATTCAAAACTAAAACTATTCACATTCAGGACTGATAATTTGTTTTTTCGACCTTGGCTTTTGATAATGTTATAAAAAAATTTTTGCTTCTGATATGTATCACTGAGGTTAGTATACCAAATTTTTTGACTCTCTTTCTTTTAGGTACTTTAATACATCAATGTTGTGTCTGATGATGGCCTGTGGCCGAAACTAGTTACACTACTATTATTAAATATTTTTTCGTGGTCGACAGACTTTGAGACTTCTATTGTTTTTTCTTATATTGAAATAACAACTTTTTTATCCTCTGTGTGACTTTTGTATCTAGCTTAGTTTTTGAAGAGAAAATAAAAACTCGATTTGACTCCAAATTTTAATGTAGGTGTTTTCAAGACTTCCATTGAGATTACTCAGTAACCCCAATTAGAATCATTCTGAAATTTTGGGGCTTTCTCAGTCTCCATCCATACTGAATTTTGGCACAATGAAAGCTTGTACAGGGGGGATATAAATAGAAACAATTATCACTTTCAACTTCAACATCCTGTATCTCAAAAACGGAGCAAGTTAGGACACATGTTTATATGAACTTTATTTGCTATAATGTCACAAGGAAACACTCCTTGAATTTTTTGGATGTTATTTAGATACACTCTGTATATGGAATTGAAAAAATTGGGGGGATAAACCCCCACTCAGGATGTTGAAGGTTTTGCTATGATTTTTGGGTCAAAAGTTGTCCCCCTTGACAATCAAACTCGAATTGTTTTTGGATGTACTGTGCGGTACGTTTTCGATGAGTCAACCGTTATTATATGATAAACTGTCATCCCTATTCTGATAATATTTTTATGTTTTGGGATTTCATTCATTTCCGTAACAGAGAACGAGTATAAAAATTTGTATTTTTTCATGATTTATTTATTATATGAAAGAAGAAACTTAAGTACCTATGTAGCTGATCATCACTATTGCCTGTAGAGGTATAAAATCATTAATCTAATAATCTCATTAGTATACCAAGCGAGCAATCAGGAAATGACCTAAGCCCGGGTCCCAATACTAATTTTCAAGAACACGATGTGAACTTCGTTTCAATAAGACGGAAATATATTATTTTTTCTGTGACGGAAATGAAGTTTGGAATTTCATCTCTGTTGATAGGTTATAAAATGTCACTTTTCACAAATTACTTTTTTCCTACGGGAAAAAATGAGTACTTTTTTCAGGATATATATCACATATACTGGGTGTCCCAAGTAATCGTATACAGGCAATATCTCGCTTATTTGACAAGAAAATTGAAAAATTCAAAAGCTGCAATGAATGGCAATGAAGTACCTTCCTAATGACAAACAAAAAATCCATTACATTTGATAGTTTTCTGGCAGCTATCTTCCACTTCTCATTTCAAATGACTCCTACGATAGCATTTACTTAGTATTTTTTTCATTATTATACCAACAAAAACAGCAACATTCAATGTATGAATTTCAACTGAGATATTTTTTATGCGAATCAAAAAATGAACCAAAAATCACAGCAAGTGTTCGAAATTATTTTGACATGAGAAGCATTGGCTTTTTGAAACAAAATACATGAGCGGAGACAATTTTTCATTTTTATAAGTAACTTGAAACAAGTCACGAAATGTTGATATTTTTGTTGTTATCAATAAAAAAATACCAAGTATACGCTATCGTTGTATTCCAAATTGAATGACACGTGATTTCCAATGACAATATACAGGTGGTGTCATTTGAAAATAAACAGTGGGGGTGTGTTCCAGAGAACTGTCAAATGTAATAGATTTTTTTTGTATTTTATTAGGAAGGTACTTCAATGCCATTCAATGCAGTTTTTGAATTTTCCAATTATCTTGTCAAATAAGCGAGATATTGCCTGTATACGATAACTTGGGACACCCGGTATATACACTGTTGATGGCTTTTGTTGTGCTATAGTTCCGAAAAATAAGCCAATAACACCGTCTCCGAGAAAAAACTGCAAGTCCTTTTATCTTCCATTCGACTTCGCGGTTACGTAAATTACTAATAAACAACCACTAAATTCGCAATTTTTTGGAATAGAATCAAAGAATCAGACTGACAGATATTTGATAACTTCAAAAGAATGATAAAGATGCCTGCAACGCGGGTGTCATTCCTGTTAAAAACTTCAAATTTCATGTCGATAATTTTCATAATATTAAATCTTCTCACGGGAAAAATATTAGATTTTAGCTCACAACCTGGAGCTAAGATCTTCTACTTTTTTCCCTTGTATAATAAATAACTATTATAGTAAAATTACTTTTCATGGAATAGGAAGACCGATTTGTTATTCATCTATATTATCAACTTTGGAATTTTATTTTCATTTTCTTTCTGATGATTTCGACTTAAAAATCTCACACCTCAACTTCAAAACTAATATGCCTTTCTTTATTTGACTCGCTACTATACGACAATCAAACAAATTTCTAGATTTTTTGCCTAGGCAAGGTGATAATTGAGTAGGAATTTCGCTACAGTTGTGAAGATGAGCATAATATAATATGTACAGTTAAATGCAAAAAATATGTCGCGGTTGGATGAAGTTAGCAGCGTTCTTATTGCAGAAGTGACTCCAAGTGTTATCACCGTCCATCATAGGCGACATTTTATTTGCATCTGACTGTATACATACAAACATTCAATTTTCGAGAAATCTCCTGAAACAGGTCGATTTCAATCTCTCTGTCACATTCATAATGGAAAATCAGATATACAGGGTCATCCTCACAGGGGATTTTCATTCTGCTTCTCGAATCAACAGATACATTGTCTCTATCTGAAAAGATACAGGAGTAGCAAAAAGTTTATGAAATTTAAATAGAAGACCCTAAATATTTCCTCACCATTGGAAAGACCTTTCGAAGAGCTTTACAAAAATACCCCACTAAATACAATAATTATCTTCCTTATTTCTCAATTTATGGACATTCAAAACTAACAGAATTTGATCGATTTTTGAACGATTTCCGAGAAAGGTGAGAACATTAATTGCAAATCCAGGTACATTCGCAATATTGACACCTAAAACATTTAATTCTCATTGGTACTAAATGACCACTGAAAATCGATATTTGTAATCATTGTCATGGCCTACCCTTGGGAAATCATTCAAAAATCTATTAAACTCTGTCAGTTTCCAAAGCCCGTGTTCTGAGAAATACAGAATATAAATAGGTATATCGGGTGAGGTATTTTTGGAAAGCTACTAAGCAGGGTGTTTACTTTGAAGCGCATGCACTTCCTGCTGCCCCTATATATACTCTTTCAGAAAGTGAAAATGTATTGTTGTTCTAAATTTGTTCTTATCCATTCGGTTTCCCCATTTACGATCAACCCTCAGAAGTCTTGTGCGAGCAAGAAATGACATGGGCTTTACCTTTTAACGAGTGAACCCAAAAACTTTCTTGGGCCATCAGGAAGATGTCTGCAGTCGTTGGATTCGAATACCCGTTTGAATAAAAATATATTGAAATATTTCTCATCTTTTAATGATTAATGATTACATAAAAATATATTGAAATATTAAACAAAGGGAGTGTCATTTCATGTGAAAAGTGCAGAAATCCTCAAGAAATGACCATTTTTCGCAGACAGAAATCGTAAATGCAAAATTCCCCTCATTTTTAAACACCCAAGAATGATAATAATTATACCCAAATCCAAACAGAGTTGTATTTATTCAGGTTTCTGTAGTTTAATCCTGTTTATAAATCTGTTTGAAACATTAATCTGCAGAAGGCTTATTAGCCAATGGAGTAAGGTTGCGTGCCTAATAAGCTAAAGGTCCCGGGTTCAATCCTTACTCGACCTAATTTTTTCTTTTGTCAGAGGGATGTCCCTGGAATATCCTTGAGACGTTCTAGTGATATCCTTTCTTCGTACTTGGTATATCCCAGGGACGTACCAGAAGAACATCTCTGGGATGCCTGCCAAGTTTCTAGTATATATGTACTTTGTCCCGACAAAGGATATCCCTGGGATGTCCTAGTATAAAGTTAGGAACGTCCCTGGAAAGTCTCTAGGATCCCAGTTAACACAAGATATCTTATTGATATCCATTTCAAGTCCTATTCAAGGCGGGATATTCGTGGACATGAAATGTATATCCATAAGATATCCGAAACAGACGTCCTGAATACGTCCATAGGATATCTATAAGATACAGAGACAAAAGATAAATAGCTCGAAATTTCAAATCAAGTATAATTATACAATGAATGAAATGATAAATAAATAAAAGTAACAATTGTGCGTGGGTTTTCCAAAAGATAGCACACATTGTGATGCACTATCTCCTATTATTATTAATTCGGTTTTCAAAAACAGCGCGAGGTGGCGTAACGTCTCAAATAGTCCAAGATTGGTAGAACTGATGATTATTTATAGATCATCGATTCTACCAACCTTGGAATAGTCAAATAATGTCAATCTGTTCCCATATTTAATTAATTTGAAGTGAATTTGGAAGTGATTCCTACGAATTCGTCCAAAATTGATGATGCCATAAGAACCGACAACTACATCATTCGAACGCAGTGAGACGTGAGTGCTTCCCAATTTTTGTGATTTTTTCTATATATAGGGTATACTATCTCTTATCCATATCCATAGTTGATATCTTATGATGCAAAGGTAACACTGTCACATCCTATGGACGTCCATAGGATATACCAGAGCCTTTTTCGGATATCTTATGGACATCTACAATATCCATGATGGATATCCATAGTATATTCATAAGATGTACTTGTGCTATCTGGGATGTACTTGTGTTGTTAGGGAATGAAATACACTATTACCTCTCCCAGTCCTTCGATCACCCTGAGCACGACCAGGACCTTCCAGTTGCCGTCGGTGTAGTGGATGACCCAGGGGGTGATCAGGGTGAAGACGGCCGTCGACAGAATGCCGATGCCGAGGGTGTACTTGCCCCCGAACCTCTCGGCCAGGATGCCTCCTGGCAGGTGGGTGACCACGTAACCCCAGTAGAAGGAGCTCAGGATCAGGCCCTGAGTGGTTTCGTCCCAGTCGTACAGAATGTCTGTGTTCTAGAAGGAGTTTTCGAATTACAATAATTTAATTAGGAGATATTAGGTTAGAATCTGGTTGGCACGTGACGTTCCGAGGACGTCCATTTTAGGTCCATTTTTGGTCTGAACGTCCTGGACCTTGCATGGATGTTTCAAGGACATCCAGAAGAACGTCTTTGAAACGTCCAATTTACTGACTCTTACGGTATTTCAGTTTCAATAAATATAAGTAGGTAGGTATTCATTAATTTCAAAATCAGAATTATTGTATTGAATATTGATATAAATGGTGACAAAAATTAGTATATTGTTGAACGAGCACGGAATGATAGTGATTTCCTTCGAGAATGAAGTTTGTAGCATGAGTCATAGGCATGTAATGCTCATCTTTTAGACAGACAAGTGCTTGTAATTTAACATTCCATGAGCGATGAGATCTCCTTGATATAATGAAACAATGGAGTCATTGTGATATCAGGAAGTTGTTAAAAATTGATGACATACAAATTACCTCATTGATGTATCGAACACAGTAAAATGAGAGCAATTTTGTGTTATAGCCGTAGAAAATAGTATATTGTTTAACGAGCACGGAATAATAGTGATTTCCTACGAGAATGAAGTTTGCAGCATAAGCCATAGGCGAATGTTGCAATCATTCGAGTAGGAAATTAGCTTCCGTGCAAGTTATACACTATAATTTTTCTACGGCTGCGAAAGATAACAGCGGCAGTTTCGATTTCTTCGTCTTGTAGCCATCTGATTTCCTGTCAAGTAATGCTCATTTATTAGACAGAGCTGTCATTGCTTGCAATTTGAAATTCCATGAACGATGAGATTTTTTTGGAATAATAGCACAATATGGAGTCATTGTGATATCAGATACGGAAATAAAATTGATGACATACAAAGTACCTCATTGATGTATCGAACACAGTAAGACAAGAGCAATTTTGTGTTATAGTCGTAAAATAAAATATATTGTATGTCAGCTATATCAATATATTGAATTTCATTTTAGTATTATTATTATGAATTTGAAATATTGATGATTTTTAACTGATTTGTACCTACTTATATAGTTATGTCGAATTATATTACTTAGTGCTCCTATTGGCAAAAAAAGCGAAAAGCTGATTTTGAGCGCCGATATCTCAAAAACTATCTGTCCTACGGGGCTGATTATAGTTTCATTCGATTCAGCGGGTCATTTTCTACTGGAAAAACGATAATTCGCGTGAATTTCTGCCGTTTTCTGGCACTTTCGGCCGTCCGAAGATGGCTCGGTGACTATATCGTATGGAAGTCTTAGGTGGGAAAATGAAAATTTTTATTTGGCCTATTGAAAATTAGAAAAAATTCACATAGACTGATTCGATATCGAAATGAACGAATCTGTGGTGAAAATCGGGAAATTTTGGAAAATGGAGACGTAGTGGTCTACCGGAGTGCTCCAATTGGCAAAAAAAGCGAAAAGCTGGATTTGAGCGCCGATATCTCAAAAACTATCTGTCCTACGGAGCTAATTATGGTCGCATTCGATTCAGCAGGTCATTTTCTACTAGAAAAGCGATTAATCGCGTACCTACTTATATAGTTATGTTGAATTATATTACTTCAATCACATATAATACCTATACACTCTGACCATTCTTGAACCCACACTGAAATATTTATACAAGCCGCGCTTTCATAATAAGATTTGATTGGTTCGCTGAATCATATGTAAGGCAACCGTAGAACGCATGCGTGTTACGTGAAACGAAAACGTATGATGATGGGAAATGAGAAGATGGAAGATGGCGAAGATGGCGTCAGTCATTCAGGTTCAAGGACATTCTGAACTTTTCGAGTTATTTGACTGTAAAAGCAGTGTATCATCTATCAACTGGCGGTGAACTGCAATCTCGTCTTATATCGAGATTTTTTGTGTTAACAGCATCATGAAGGCAAGTATGGCTATCGTTTTATTTTCATTCGCTTGGAGGTGCTTGAGTATGAACATGAAATCTGGAGTTGAAAACATTTAGATACCTTATGATTTGATCTGTTTGTTTGTTATAAGTACCATTAAGTACATACCTAAGAATCCGTTTATGTTTGGAATAAGTTTTCAATGAACTAAAAATAATAAAGTATTTAGCTATACTGGCTACAACACGTTGAAAGTGGGTGTGTGATTATGGTATTCACAGACAGAGCTGGACATTATTTGTATTTACAAATACTTTTCAGTACTTGAATACTCGGTATTTTATGGTTCAGGTAATCATATTCATACCTACAAATATTTGTTGGAATACATTTTTTTGGCAGTATTTGCACATAGTTTCGCAAAGAATTTGAATTTATTTATTTATTTATTTATTTAATTTTCCAGTAGACAATTGCAAAAAAATTGTATAGGAATAGTCAAATGGGTAAACTTATATCTAAAGACAATACAATACAAAACAACACAAAAATGAATATGGATAATACAATAGTACAGGTAAGACAACAATAGTAAAATAATATTACACTTGATAAGTATGATATGATAGTAGGTAATAATTAAAAGCAAAAAGAAAAACAGTATGTATAAAACGTAAGATTTGAATTAAAATACTTGAGAAAAATATTCATCGACAGAATAATACGAATGTTCCTCTAAAAACACTCTAAGGGATCTTTTGAAACAATTTAAGGTCTTATATAGTTTGATCTCATTAGGAAGAGCGTTAAAAATTTTCGCTGCCATGATATTGGGCGAATTTTTCGTTACATTCATCCTACTGAAAGGGATATAAAAATCATATTTTTGTCTAGTATTTACTCCGTGGCGGGAAATGTTCGTGTGAAAGTTTTCTTTATTGTGAAATACATATAGACACGATTCTAGAATTAGTAATGACGGTAGTGTCAGAATTTTCAGGTCCCTAAAAATGTCACGAATATATGAGTGAGTGAGTGAGTGAGTGGGTGAGTGATTGATTGATTGCGTGAGTGAGTGAGTGAGTGAGTGAGTGAGTGAGTGAGTGAGTGAGTGAGTGAGTGAGTGAGTGAGTGAGTGAGTGAGTGAGTGAGTGAGTGAGTGAGTGAGTGAGTGAGTGAGTGAGTGAGTGAGTGAGTGAGTGAGTGAGTGAGTGAGTGAGTGAGTGAGTGAGTGAGTGAGTGAGTGAGTGAGTGAGTGAGTGAGTGAGTGAGTGAGTGAGTGAGTGAGTGAGTGAGTGAGTGAGTGAGTGAGTGAGTGAGTGAGTGAGTGAGTGAGTGATTGATTGATTGATTGATTGATTGATTGATTGATTGATTGATTGATTGATTGATTGATTGATTGATTGATTGATTGATTGATTGATTGATTGATTGATTGATTGATTGATTGATTGATTGATTGATTGATTGATTGATTGATTGATTGATTGATTGATTGATTGATTGATTGATTGATTGATTGATTGATTGATTGATTGATTGATTGATTGATTGATTGATTGATTGATTGATTGATTGATTGATTGATTGATTGATTGATTGATTGATTGATTGATTGATTGATTGATTGATTGATTGATTGATTGATTGATTGATTGATTGATTGATTGATTGATTGATTGATTGATTGATTGATTGATTGATTGATTGATTGATTGATTGATTGATTGATTGATTGATTGATTGATTGATTGATTGATTGATTGATTGATTGATTGATTGATTGATTGATTGATTGATTGATTGATTGATTGATTGATTGATTGATTGATTGATTGATTGATTGATTGATTGATTGATTGATTGATTGATTGATTGATTGATTGATTGATTGATTGATTGATTGATTGATTGATTGATTGATTGATTGATTGATTGATTGATTGATTGATTGATTGATTGATTGATTGATTGATTGATTGATTGATTGATTGATTGATTGATTGATTGATTGATTGATTGATTGATTGATTGATTGATTGATTGATTGATTGATTGATTGATTGATTGATTGATTGATTGATTGATTGATTGATTGATTGATTGATTGATTGATTGATTGATTGATTGATTGATTGATTGATTGATTGATTGATTGATTGATTGATTGATTGATTGATTGATTGATTGATTGATTGATTGATTGATTGATTGATTGATTGATTGATTGATTGATTGATTGATTGATTGATTGATTGATTGATTGATTGATTGATTGATTGATTGATTGATTGATTGATTGATTGATTGATTGATTGATTGATTGATTGATTGATTGATTGATTGATTGATTGATTGATTGATTGATTGATTGATTGATTGATTGATTGATTGATTGATTGATTGATTGATTGATTGATTGATTGATTGATTGATTGATTGATTGATTGATTGATTGATTGATTGATTGATTGATTGATTGATTGATTGATTGATTGATTGATTGATTGATTGATTGATTGATTGATTGATTGATTGATTGATTGATTGATTGATTGATTGAGTGAGTGAGTGAGTGAGTGAGTGAGTGAGTGAGTGAGTGAGTGAGTGAGTGAGTGAGTGAGTGAGTGAGTGAGTGAGTGAGTGAGTGAGTGAGTGAGTGAGTGAGTGAGTGAGTGAGTGAGTGAGTGAGGGTTATAATGAGCGATTAAGTGAGGGATAGTATGAGTAATTGAGTGGGAGAGCAAGACAGGGATAAAAATCGGTTGTTTACCGTGACAGTGGCAGTGGAGGTTTTGTTTCCAGTGGCGAGGCAAGCGTCGGGGTCAAAGATTTCCTTGGAACTTTCCGGTGTCACCATTTCCGTGATGGCGATGGATAGTGAGACACGCATTGTGTAAGCGTTGAGGATGGCCAAAAAACCCATTAGGCCGAGTATGTATCGTTGCGGTATCACGAAAACTGTAAACGAAAATAATGATGACATTAAAAACTGTGATTATTGTTTGGTTATACTGGGTGCTCTTGAATTTGAGTGACAAAATCTCAATTCTATACACAAAAGTTTTGAAAACGATCCCTTTTTTGGAGATACAAGGTGTTGAAATTGAAAAAAACTGATTTTTATCACTATGTTAAAAACGCTGCCGCCGACGACAAAGTTCGTCGAACTTCAAGAGGTTCTCCTAGAGTTTACTCAATAATTTCGGGGGTTTAATTCCCACTTAGTATTAGGTAAATGCGTTTTACACGAAAAATAACACCCACTCGTTTCTATTCATTGGTAATTTGGATATAGCAATTGAAAACATAATATTTTGTTGTCCTATTTCTTCCATATGTCACTTTGTTTTGTCGAAAAATCAGTAGGAAAAGTAGAATTGGAACGTGGTTAATCTTTTAAAAACCATCAACATTTTTCTTGAACAAAACTTCAACATCTTCTATCCATTTTCGGACATGATTATTTAATAGGATTTTTTTTCAATTCACAGTCACGGTACACCTTGTACCTTGTACATTTTTGCCATTTTCTTCCTACAACTAGAAAATGCTCGATTCATTGGCGTAGCCAGGATTCCATTTAGGAAGGGACAGTAGCGCATTTTTTGAAATGGTGCAACAAATTCTGTTCATATATCAAACGTATATTCAGAATATTATGGAATTGTGTAGATAAAAAAAGATGACACAAACTTATGACACACTACGAAATTTTATTCATTTTGAAATGAGCCAGCGGATGTCTCAAGATCTGTCTTTCTATGCACCCTCAACAGTCAACGTATAAAGTCCACCGTGTCGACTTTCCGTCATAGTAGATCTCAACCAGGTACCAGGTTTTCACTATTCTCAATGGTTGTGCAAGTGAAATTAACAGATCCCGCGTCAGTTTCTTTCACTAATTCTGCTATTTCCAACTCTTTCATAGACTTTTTGCAATTTTTCTTTTTGTCCATAATTCATATCATACCTTTACTGAAATTTTTTTCCATATTATAATAACCGGAGAAAATTTGTATTCAATTTCGTTTTTAATGTGAAAACACCGCACGTTTTATAGGAAAAATTGGCCTCCTGTCGAATTTGCTGAATTTTTGATATGTTATAGTCCAAGGCACTCTGAACAAAATGTCCAAATACCAAACTGTTCTATTGGCTATTCTTAGCGCTATAGAGGGCGCTGAAGTCTCCATCTTAATTCCTTTTCTCCTGATAAATAATGGCCTTCGACCTTCTATCATCATATTTTTCGATAGGCAAGTCACTACAAGAAGTTCTCCAATATTGTTGCTATTGGTCAACAATTATACAGTGTGTTCCAGCAATTATGGTATGGGTGAGATAAAATATGATACTATTAAAGAATTCAATCAAATAAGATATTGTTTGGTGTCGCATTTCATTCATGAATCAGTTTCTCCTTGTTTATTGTTCACTCTATATATGAAGAGGAGATATACACATTATCAACTCCTTCTATAACAGAAGCAGAACTCAGTCAAGGGTATAGATAAATATTCCTTGTAACTTCGGCAAATAATTCTGATCATGGTATAGATTTTCAAATGCATGCGTCATTATATTCCAAATATCAGGCCCTCAAGAAAATAGTGACTGCATGCATTTGAAAAAATATACTATAATCAGAATTCTTTTCTGAAGTTACGAGGAATTTTTATCTAAAGAAGCTATAATGAATACCAATATTATTGATTTCTGCTACTGTTTATAGAAAAAGTTAATAACGTTGTATGTATCCTCTTTATAAACATTAAATAATAGCTGATTCATAATTGAAATGCGATACTTCACAATATCCATTTTTTATTGAATTATTGAATAGCATCACATTTCATCTCACCCACAATTGCTGGAACACACTGTATAGTTGTTGACCAACAGCAACAATGTTGACGAATACTTCTTGTAGCGTTATCATATCAAAAAACAATATAATAATAGCTCAAAGAGCATTATTTTATCAGGCGAATAGAAATCATTCTATTTTCAATACAACCCTCTTCTTCAAGGCGTTTTCTTGTCACAGCACAACCTGGAGCTAAAATATACCGCTTTTTTCCCTTGTATAATTAATAACTATTTGACCAAGGTCTGAAATATACGTTATATACAGTATGATGCAAATGTATGGAATAAATTCATTATTTCAGAAATGGGCGACATTTGAAAAAATTCCAAAAACACGTGAGTTTCAATTTCTGAAGCCTCATCTCATGATATTCATATGAGAGATGTTACGTCACCGGTGTTGGAGTAAAGACGTAATGGACGATTTTTTCAAATACAAATAGGGGTCATGTGACACCTTGATTGAAAGGTCTACCGATCGTCTATTCAACAGTCAAAATGTTGCATAAGAAGATTGAAATTAAAATGGATTATCATGTGATTAATTGAATCTTGCAGAAGTCTGCTACTGAGAATTGAACATCGAAGGGTCGTCTAGTTAAAAAAATACGTCGAAAAAAAGTTCTAAACTCTAGTTTTTGTTTTTTTTTCAAAAGTCGTCTTGTTTTGAAATGAATTTATTCCATACATTTGCATCATACTGTATATAGTGAAGTTTAACTCAGTTTAACTTTTGATTGATATAAAAAGTGTGAAAATAAGCAGAGCTCGAACACTAGTACAGCATTTTAATTGCATAATAGATAATAATTATGAAACTATGTAGGTATGAAATTTTCTATATCAACAACTTGCTGATATTATAGAATTCCACCTTAATTTGTCAGGTATTAAAAACATGTTTTTAGATTTGACGAACATGATGTACAACTTATTTGTTTATTCTCCTACATAGATAATGTCTTTCTCAATATCCTGGGTAATTGAGTGGAAAGATTATACTACATGAGTATATGAGTCACGACTAATCAGCCAGAGTTAGATAGCGAATGAAAAATTATGTCAGATCCATCGCGAAAGCTGCTTCACAAAAACTCGGATCGTTTTCAGAATACTGTTCCACATATATAAGGTTCAGCACCCAAACATACGCTGATGCTCTTAGATTCCATCCAAAGACGAGCCATTCGTCTGGTAGGTGATGCCACACTCACGTATTCTTTGACAACATTGTAACACCGTGGGATAGTCGCCGAACTTTCACTATTGGGTGTCCCGAAAATATAAATATTTCAATCACAGATTCTAGGAACAAAATTAGTGAAAAAAGTCTATATAAACCAGAAATATTCGAAACCATCTCTGTGATCAAATATCCAAATTTTGGACATACGCCTTACTTTTTATGCCCAATTAGAGAATGTCAACAATTTTCAGAAATTCTGATCAGGGGCGCGGAAATAGGTGGGGCTAGGGGCAGTAGAAGCACTTTTTCTTCAAACTTTTTTGTTCATGCAAATCTAGGCAGTTTGACCAGGAAATATGGAACTGTCAATATGGCAAAGCTCTGAAATTCTTAGAAGAAGGAAGTATTTCCAAGAACTCCAGAAGTTATGTCCTATATAGGGTGTCCGGAAACGTCATGTCGTATTGACCTTGAAAGTTAGAATAAAAGAAATATATTCCATGATGTACTTTTAAACGGCTGCCATTGTATATCAATGATATTCGAGCAATCAAATAAACTCATACTATATAAGGAGTGCAGGGAAATAAAAAAACAATGCTTGGGAGGAAATTTGTACTGCTATACAGTGCCAAAATAAAGAGGGAGTAAAAAAAAATCGATTTCTGATTTCTGATTTCCGTATCAGGGGGTCTATTTTCCTTAGTTAACCTTCCATATCAGAACTAGACATACGGAAAAAAATCCTAAAACTGCCATCTGTTGGGAATTCACCCCAAAGAAGATCGTCTTCCGGCAAATCTTTTAACAATTCATTTCCTCCTTCTATTTTTTTTCTAATTGGGCGAACCCAGCACTTATGCGTGGTTTTTCATTTTTTTTTATTATTACACGAAAAAAAGGATTTGTTTCATCAACAAATTATTCATGCTTGAATTATTCTTGTTGAACTGAGCAATTTTTTGTTGAATCGACCAGATACATGATTATTTCATGGAAGCAGCTTGTTCAAATCAAGAATGTAGTCTAATTGAATCAACAGTATATTATCAATTGATTCAACAAAATATATGGTTTTCTCGAAAACAAATTATGTCGATCCAAAATAATGTCGATGTTGATTCAATTATAAACATTTTGTTGATTTGATGAAATAATGATCATTTTGATGAGAATATATCTTTGAAACAACATACAAGTTTTCTTATTCCGATGTAGCAATGAACTCATTCCGAACGGATCATTTGCTTGAATAGAGCAACGAAATATGTAATACATATCAATGAAATAGTTTGTTCATTTTACATCAAGTTAAATTTTCGCCTCTAGATGGCGATCATTTTGCCTCGTCAATGCCTGCCTCGAATTCATTATATACGTGAAGCCTGATTATTCGTGTTTGAAATATCAGCTGGGTAAATCGAACTTAGGATGATTAGCAATCTGAAATAGTTTTGTATTAGCTGAGGAGAAGTAAAGATTGGAGATCATCATATGTCAAATGAGTTATGATGAAACAGTTGTTAAACATAAATTTATATATCAAAAACAATAGTAGTCGTGGACGAAGTATAGTATTCTACTCGCATATAATGAGCTATTATTCACTCAGGTTGATTCTGCCCCTCGCTAGGCTCGTGACATAAACTTTACCTTCGTGAATAATAGCCCTCATTATATGCTTGTTGAATAATATATTATTACGCCTCGAAAAGGAGTAAAGGATGATATGTTTTATAGCTAGTGGTGGAAAAACTCTATATATTCAATAACATCATGGTAGTTGCGTCGTTGTCATAATTGACATCAAATTATTTTGTATAAGTATGCATATGTTTGAACATGCAGAAACTTTCAAGGTCAACTATTCCGTAACGAAGTGCAATAGAATTTTTTTTATATG